AAGCGAAGAGAATTTTAACAGTGATACGATCAGGCTCAGATGCGCGGCAGATATGGGACATGATCAAGGAGGCCAACTATGCCATTTCAACGTGACCCCACTGGCGTATTTCGACGATGATAACGTCAGAAGATTGCAACAGCATTATGCTGGGAGGCTCCAGCTTTTTGTTCACTATAGAGCTCTCAAATTAACGTCTCCTGATGGTATCATAAATGAAATGGATCTGGACTCAATGGAACTGACCGTCGGTGTCTCCCTCACGAACATGTTCAGTGCAGAGGAGCACCAATAATCAGTCTGATAATGTCTCTGTGGTTGGCTAGAGTAAATGCCCGGTGTCTGAGGTCGGAGTCTCGCAGAGCAAGGCTCACTCGTGACCTTCAGCGTTTCTGGGTGAATGTATGATGTGTACAGGAGACCCGGTTTTCAACTCAGGATCGTGAAAGCATTCTGTCTGGACGTTCGAAAGACTTTTCAGGCTGGATGCGGCGTGTGCTCTTGCCTGCAGATCTGGCGGGCAGGCATTGCGTGCTTGATGTTACTATAAAGGATAAGGCTCTTCGTTTCAATGGAGTTTATGCGCACAATGATCATGTTGAGGGGCCTGATTTGTTTCGCCGGATCGAGCCGTTTATGACGACATCTCGCCGGTTAGATTTAACGGGCGATTGGAACGCCGTCTTTGATCCCAACATATATCGTGTAGGGAAAAGACCGGGTACTAACAGCCGGGGTGTGAAACCATTTTGGGAGTTTATCGATAAGTTTGATCTTGTCGATAAGTAACCCTTGAGAATAAGTGTGGACTCGAACGAAGAGAGGTGGTTCGTCTACAGCGGTGGGTTCTAGCTACCTCGACCGAGTCTTAGCTAGTGAGTCGATGTAGTGTTCGTAGGTTCTCCAAGTTTTCATTCTATAGTTTACTTTGATCATAGGCTCATCCGGGTTCGTGTAAACTTAGATAAGCCTAAGGTTAGGATGGATGGCTACTGAAAAATGAACGCATCATTATTTGATGAGCGAGATTTCCAGGACCAGCTGCTATTAATGCCACAGCGGGAATTGACGGGGGCTGTGCTATGGTTGGGAATATGTGGTGGGATAAATTAAATTTAGGTCGTTTGCTGCTACCTATAGTCATCGACTCAATCTAGCTAGATTAGCAGCGCAAACCGTATGTGAGGAAAGAGTTGATCGGGCAATTATATGCCGTGATAGAGGAGAAGTCGCCTTAGTTAGGGCAGAGTTGGCCGCCTTGCTCGTCAAGAAGGATCAAGTTCTGGTAGTTAGGGCTAGGTTAAAAAGAATGTCTTTCGTGGCTATGAATATGGCCATTGAATTTGCGTGCAAAGGAAGTTAGAAATGCGTCACATCGACATGCTGCATGCTTCACCTTGCCGGATAGATGCACCGTGACTTAATCTGACATATTTTTTTACTTCAAGCCTTATTTTAGTGGATGCACGTATTTAAGTAGACGCCCAGTTTATTTTAAGCAGAAACGTAAACAAAGCAATTTCTAAAGAATTAATGGATTTTATTTTTTAATGCAACATATTTTCATTAAAAAATCCTTTTGAATACGAAATTGAGCGAGTAAAGTGTACTTTAAAGACAAAATAGAACCCCACTTTATTGTGAGGCTTTCCCTAGCCGAACGGTAAAAAAACACCGGATTAGACGGTGATTCCTCCATAAAAGGCAAGCGCAGGTCCGAATCGTGCCGAAGGGCACATTTCATTTATTTAAGTCTTCTCGAGTATGCAGGCCGGTAAATAAAAGGGGCGTCTACTCAAATATGAGTATCCACAAAAAATAACGTTTATGCAGAATTTGTCTTTAAACTGATTCCATCCTCCAAGCAGTGAAAGGCCAAGTTTGAAATTCATAAAACATTAGTGCATAAACATGATTTTTATACTAAACTTCAGCTAACACAGGGCTCGAGAGCCACCCAAGTTTTGATGAATGAGACGAATGATAGGAGTTTTAGGAAGTGAAGATTATGAGGATATTGATGGTAGGTTAAGACTCTAGTGGTCAAGGGAGCATTTGCGCAGGCAGATGTTCCACAACATACCAGTTATTGGTAAAAAAAAAAGTCCAGTGAAAATCTCTCCTTCTATTTGGAATACAGAGGAAATGAGGGTGATTAGACTCCGTGGAACTTGTTTGGTGTGTACAAGTTGTAAAGGTCTGAACTTGAAGAACTAAACATTGGTGTTTATCTAAGCATTTGCCATGGAAATAGCGATAGAGTAACGAGAGGATTGCAACTTTGCGTCTCTGTGGAAAGAGGCTGTAAAGTGAGAAATATGTATTCTCACACGAGAATGCATAAACTCTATCAAGTCTGGAAAGTGAAGATTTAGAATTAAACATCAAGTGCAAGACGTTGTTAACGAAATGAGTGAACCTAAAGTACCAATTGCAAATCTGAGATATCAAAATCAAACAAGTGCAAAAATTTAAATATCTGGGAAATGTTTTAACAGAGGGCGAAAAGTATAACAGTGAAATCCGAAGGCGTATTGGGATAGCCAAAGATGCCTTCTAAAAGCTAAGTAGAGTATTAAAAAAACAGAAACACTTTGCCAAAAAGAAGGAAAAATTACTAAACGTGAAATCTGTCTTTCTGTATGGCAGTGAGTGCTTGACAATCTTCTAAAAGATGAAAAAGAGACTTGACGCAAGAGAAATGTTATTCTACAGAAGGATGTTGAGGATACCATGAATTAAATATGTGAGCAACGACAAAGTTTTAGAAAAAAATGGAAAAAAAAGGAAACTTATACTTAACATCAGGAAGAATCATTTGAAATTCCTAGGGCAAATAATGAGGAAGGAAGCCTTGGAAAATGTGATACTCACAGGATAGATTGAAAACAAGAGAGACAGACGATAACAACGCATAACATATTTAGTGAACTTGAGTAAATGGATGGCGGAACTGAGTTTCTATCTATATTTCTGAGATAAGGTATTATGTACACTATTTACATTATTCGGACTATTGTCCTCATCTTTGTCGCCATATTTATTACAACGTTTCGGCCTTCTTCAGGTGGCTGGAATGTCGAACTGAACCCTTTATTTCGCTCACTTTGATAGACTGTTCTCGTTCCACGTGCCATGTTTAATGGATGCCAGGTACTGTGGATAAAGGCGTTAGTCAGATCCAGTGACAGGACCCAAAGAGTGTGAGTTCAATACCCGGTTAAGGCAGTGGAGAACTTGGAGAGGGGAATTAACAAGAGATAACTGACAAATGACACGTTATGACAAGTAAAATTGGTCACAAATAAGTTCATCTTGTAGATCAAGATCACTATAAGCGGTTTAATGAAACCAACAACGCAGGACTTCCAGCCTCCAAGTACTGTTAATGTGATGATAGATAGATAGATAGATAGATAGATAGATAGATAGATAGATTCCTAGAAGAAGAATAATAAGAAAAGCACACATATGATAGCAATACCCCTTTCTTTGGTCTACTCTGACTCATGTAAAAAATAAATTTTGCCAGCTCAGCTCCTCTTTGGATTTACTGTACTTTTTGACATTGTTCTAATGAGCTTTCGCTGTTTCTACCCCAACCTCACTATACTAGATTGGCAGTTAGGTCACATAATTTCACTGCTGAAACTATTAGTTGTCACTGTAAATTCTATGCTAACAAATTCTTCTTTCGCATTTTTTGATTGTGGAACTCAAGTTCGGCTTCCTGATTTTCTTGTCAACTACGATCTTCAAACATGTAAACGCAATGTCAATCGTCATCTTCTGTCTGCTTGAAACCTGTTCTTTAATAGCCATCTCTGTTTCTTCCACCCTCAGTAAAATAACCCTTTGCGTCCTAGTGGCTTTTATTGTCTAGCTTGAGGTTAAAGGATTTAAAGAAAAAAAGAAAAAAGAATCATATACTTCTGCGAATGATAGAATAAGCCGACCGTTTTCCCAACTTTAGCAATGGATTGAATACAATTTTATACATCAGTTATATGTATTGTTCCACTTGAGGTCTGGAGTGAAGTTGAAACTCAAAAGACGTCAAAAAAAGGACCCTCCTTAAGAATGCCAACGTTCCTTGTGACTGGAGAAAATTCAAGATTTTCATCAGTGATGAGGATTGATTTTTGAGTCATTGAATGTTATAAGACAATTATTTCAGCACTAAGTCTTTAGAACATGTAAATCTCCGATCTTCTTGGTTTTTGGAACTTTGTCGTAAAACTGAAGTATTATCTGAATAGAGCTGAGAATGTTCCCAGACAGATCGTTAATAAAAAACTAAAATAAAGAAGAAAGCGTGAAGTACTTAGAAAAATAGACTTGGGGGATACCAGCTTCAGAAGACCGACAATTTAGAATGATCTTCATGAACCTACCTGAGAAAGACGGTTCAGGCTTATTCCTCGATACGATATTAAAAAAAAGAAAAGAAAAAAATGAAAATATACTCGGAAGATGAGATGCAATATTTTAAAATGTTATGCAATTGTGCGCATCCATAAAAGGGGACGAAAAAAAAACAAAAAAACGAAAACGATCGCCCTAATGCAATGCAAAAACGATCATTTATTGTGTTCCAACACAACAAAACACACACACACACACACACACACACACACACACACACACACACACACACACACACACACACACACACAGATAGATAGATAGATAGATAGATAGATAGATAGATAGATAGATAGATAGATAGATTAGAAGGAATAGACGGAGATAGATCGGAAGAAATAGACGGCGATAGATAGATAGATAGATAGATAGATAGATAGATAGATAGAGAGAGAGAGAGAGAGAGAGAAAGAGATGTTAACACAATAAAATAGATAGATAGATAGATATATAGATAGATAGATAGATGTTGACACAATAAAATAGATAATGTTAACAATAAAATAGATACATAGATAGATATATTTTAACAAAATTAGATAGATAGATGTTAACACAAAATAGAGAGATAGATGTTAACACAATAAAATAGATAGATAGATAGATAGATAGATAGATAGATAGATAGATAGATAGATGTTAACAAAATAAGAAAAATAGATAGATAGACAGACAAACAGACAGACAGAGATAGATAGATAACCAGACAGAAATAAAAAGACAGAATTAACGAAAGAATTATGATGACATATCCCTGTGCATGTTTGTGATCCAAAATGATTTATTTGAATATTGATAATAAATAGAAAATGAAATTCATTTTGCATATTTTTTTCAACTCCCCATTTTTCTTCTGTTTGGGAAAGGTTTCAGGTGAAAGGCACTTCGACCGGTTTCATTTTTTTTTTTTTTATTTAAATCTTTTTGGGGGTCTTCCCTCTTTTTAAAGTCTTTTTTAAGTCTTTTTCGTTGCTTTTTTGCATCGAAATGTTGAAAGAAGAAACATAACAAGGGGAGATAATTCTCAAAAGTGGATTAATTATCAGGTGGCAATATTTCTTTTTAAACACTACCAAAATCCTACATAACAGACAAGTCGTGTACCCCGCGCTGTAAATCAATGGTTAAGAATCTGATCTCGCAGACGATTACTACTGTAGTAGTTCATTCCTCATTGGACCAGACTAAGCAAACCTTGGTAAATCTCTATACAATAAAGGACTTTTTACATTGTTATCATTATTAATAGTCACTGTGAATATTGTAGTAATTTCCATCACCGACACCAGGTAAGTTTTGATCAATAGTCATTTTTTTTCAAGGCATTTATTACTCTCCTTCAGCAATTTTTTCATTTTTTTTAATCATATTTTTAATATTTTTTAAAAAATAATGGAAGTAATTTATATATTGATGGCTAGAGTATGTAAGACAGGAAAACAATTATAATCGAACAATGAAAATAGTGTTCAGAATGAGTGACCCAGTAAAAACAGACATCACACATCTCAACTGTGTTCACTTGTCTCAAACGGACAATCAACCCCTGAACAATTTGGTAAAGATGTCTGTATTTTATTTTCACATATTTTGTTGATTATTTTATTTATCTTCTTAGAGGATTTGTTTCTGTTTTAAAATGAGTCTGAATTGTTGATGAATGATCCTCCAAAGGTTGATGGCTTACAAAACAGAAACAAGAAGATCGTTCACAATGAGCGGCCAGATCCATTGGAGATTTTTGAATGATTCTCGGTGCTTTCCGTTCGAGGTTTTGCTCGACCACAGAAATGATCCATCAAATGACCGCTGCCAGTGAATTGCAGGACCAAAGACCAGCATTTCGCGGGTAAAATTCTGCAAAATAAAACAAAGAAAAAAATGAACTAATTTGACTGTCGCCAGGTGAAAAGTAATTTCTTGTAACTTAATGAATTCTTCCTAGAAAAAAATCATTAAAATTCAAACATTATTATTATTATTTTTATTTTCTTTGATTTATGGCGTTTACACATTTCTTTCCGGGTCCCGCCCAGTGACCTAAGGTTAGAAATGGCGTCATGACACTTTCCACTGACAAAAAAAAAAATTAAATTACATAGATAAAGCCCTTCGTAAGGTGTGGGCTGTACTTGTCAGAACAATTTTTGTATCTCCTTGAGGCATGGACTTCCAGGAATCCCTTCAATTAGTCTACTGCAATCTTTTCCAACCAGTCCTAGGGCTCCAACTACAACAGGGATTGTTGATGTTCTCATATGCCACATTTTCGAGATTTCTATTTCAAGGTCCTTGTATTTTGACAACTTTTTGAATATCTTCAAAGATACATTGCAGTCAGCAGGGACTGCCATGTCAATAAGGAGGCACCGTTTTTGTTTGTGGTCTTACATAACAATATCTGGCCGGTTGGCCTTGATTGTTCTGTCAGTGTGTATTGTGTAGTCCCATAGAATTGTAACAGGTCCTATCTCCGTAATCGGGTCTGGGTGGTGTTCATACCAGTTTCTTTCAGTTTCCTTCCCGTAGAAGTTGCAGATTTCCCAGAGCAGATATTGGCCCACTCTGTCATGTCGGGTTTTATATTCAGTGGGTGCCAACACCGTACAACCTGATACAATATGATCAATCGTTTCTGGATATTTATCACAGAATCTGCATTTTGGGCTGACACAATATTTTAGTATATGTGCTTGATAATTCCTAGTTAGCAAGCATTGGTCCTGCGCAACAAGGATAAAACCTTCAGTTTCCGCTTTCAACCCTGCACTACGTAGCCACTGATGGTTACGGGTTTTGTCTACGTCAGGTACGGGCAGAGTATTGGCCATGAAGCGGTTTATCTTGCCATCGTTTCTGTATCTGGTCTGTTGCATTCGTCTTGGCTGTCTTTTTTAGGTATTTTGCAGTTTCAGCCGGTGTATTGTGCTGTAGTTGCATCTCTACGCCCATTTGAAACTCCATTTTGAATTTGTTGGCTTCTTTCATTACGGAGTAGAGACGCTTACTACTTTCATGTATCTTGACGCATACCATCATCCAGTCTTCTGTAGTTTCCAAATATCTTTGGAGGCCAATTGTTGTAGTTTTTAGGACAGTTCTAGTTGAACTAATCCTCTGCCTCCTTCAGATCTGAGCACATACAGACGATCAACATCAGCTTTGGGACGATGCATGCGATAGCAAGTGAGAAGCTTTCTCGTTTTGGCGTCCATTCGCTTAATTTCAGCTATGGTCCAGTTAAGGACATTAAAGCTGTATTGCACCACAGGGACAGCCAATATGTTTATGGCTGATAAACTGTTTTTTGAGTTTAGCTCAGTATTTAGTACCAGACGTACACGTCTGTAGTACTCTTTTCTTATTTTTTCCTTCATTTGGGGGTGTTGTATGCCATCTCCTTCGCTAATTCTTAGGTACTTATAAGCTTCATCATGCTCCAGTTCCCTAATCTTTGTGACATAATCTAAATCTATTAAGGGTGTTTCTGTAATTCTACCTTTCTTGAAAGCTACTTTTGCACATTTATCTAATCCGAAGTCCATACTTATGTCGTCACTGTAGTATTTTACAATATTGAGGCGGCCTTCCAACTCATTGCCGTCTTTGGCAAAGAGTTTGAGATCATCCATGTAGAGTAGGTGATTGAATATTTTCTTATTTATTTTGTAACCATAGCTACTGTTGTTCAATTCATGTGTAAGAGGGATTAAGGATAAACAAAACAGAAGGGGTGACAGAGAGTCTCCTTGAAAGATTCCACGTCGGATATTCAGACGGTTGGATATGGCAGTGCCCCCGGTGTGACTAAGGTATAGTTTGGTGTTCCACATTCCCATGCTGTGCTTAAGGAAATTTAATACCACAGGGGAGACTTTGTACATTTCCAAAGTCTTAAGGATCCAAGAATGTGGAACACTATCAAAGGCTTTACGATAATCAATCCACGCTGCACTTAGATTCCTGCGTCGTCTCCTGCAATTTTCCAGGATCATTTTATTTATCAGAAGTTGATCTTTGCAGCCATATGAACCTCTTCTGCATCCCTTCTGTTCCAGCGGGAGAATGCTGTTTGTTTCGAGAAAGGAATAAGTACGGTTCGTCAGTACAGACGTGATCAACTTATACGTTGTGGAGAGACATGTTATCGGTCTATAATTTTTCGGGTCTTCTGTTTCAGTTGTTTTTTGGTATGAGGTGTAATACCTTCAGTAATCCATTCCGGGATTTTATTGGGATTATTTACAAGCGTTGATAATGTTTTTGCAAGAATTTCATGGGTAGATGAGATGATACAGCCAGAAATTGTGCAACTTGTCATTTCCTGGGGATTTCCATTTTGGGATTTCGTTAGAGCTTGCCTAACATCATCTGTGGATATATTTTCCCATTCTTGCAGAGGTGTATCCAGCAGTCGTTCTTCTTCACGCCGTATCCATTCTGCATTTGGGTTATATTCCTTTGGGCTGCTCCAAATATTTTCCCAAAATGTCTGTACATTATCAATCGATGGTGGCCTTTCGACATGTATAGGTGTTTTTCCAATTTCCCTGTATTATTATTATTATTATTCCTTTTGATTTCTGTTGTTATACACATTTATTTCTGGATCCCAACCAGCGACCTAAGATCAAAAATGGCGTCATGACATTTTCCACTGATTATTTTTGTAAAAAAAAATACAAAAAAAAACACCTCTTCCCAAGATCACACGCGTTTTACATAGATAACGCTCTTCCTAATGTGTGGGCTGTATTTGTGAGTACAATTTTTTGTATTTTTTAAGACATGGGCTACCAGGAATCCCTTCAATGAGTCTACGGAACCTTTTCCAATAAACCCGAAGGCTCCAACTACAACTGGAATTATTGATGTCCTCACGTGCCACATTTTTTGAGATTTCTACTTCAAGATCCTTTTATTTTGATAGTTTTTTTAAGATGATATTATTATTATTAGTAGTAGTAGTTTTATTTCCTCTGATAGAAATTTTCTTTTTTCTACACATTTCCTTCCGGGTACCAACCAGAGACCTAAGGTCAGAAATAGCATCATGACATTTTCCACTGAGGATTTTTGTAAAAAAAAAAAAGCAAAAAAAAATAAAATCACACACATTTTAGAACGATAAACCAATTTATAAAGGTACGCTGTAATTATGAGTAGAATTTATTTTCTGTATTTCTGTATGCTTGAGCTTCATGGATTCTATCGGGACCTTTTCAATCAAACCGATGATTTTTTTCTTTATTATTATTATTATTATTTCCTTTGATTTCTAGTGTATACTCATTTCTTTCTGTGTCCCGACCAAAAACCTAAAGTCAGAAATGACGTCATGACATTTTTTACATAGATAAAGCCCTTCGTAACGTATGTGTTGTACTTGTGAGAACAATCTTTTGTATTTCTTTTAGGCATGGATTACCAGGGATTCCTTCAATGAGTCTAATTAAATATTTTGCAATCAATCCGAGGGCTCCAACTACAACAGGGATTGCTGATGTTCTCATGTTCCACATTTATTATTATTATTATTGTTTATGTTGTTAAAATAATGCTGATAGCCGATGGTGTTTTGTTTCGTCTTTGAATTTCTGCTCATCCATGCTTCAGCTTGTCTCATAAGACACTCATACATTTAATCGAGCTTTCATCAGAGTTTTCGTCACATATGGGTAATGGAAGCTAAGCACAAGGGAATTAAAGTGTCTAAATACTTTGAATTTAAGGAACTACTTATGCACATCCACTGATAATTTAATCTCCTGAAGATGTTCTCAGATGAGATTGAAAGTACTTGGCAAAATAAAAATTATTTGAAAGAAAATTTTGTCATTTTTCTTAATCAATTTTCTACGGCCACCAAGAAATTAATTCGTGAACCGAAAGAATTAAAACTAAAATAAATAGACATAATACTTCTAAAATGTTTAACCAAACCTGTTTGAATTAAAATATGCTTCCTAAACACACACACACACACAGATATATACATACATATGTGTATATATATATATATATATATATATATATATATATATATTATATAAATTCCAAAATTCGCTTGAAGATGAAACAGAACTAATGCATTTAATTGAATTTGAAGTTTTTGGTTTCTGTTTTTGAAACATGGTAATTCCTGTGTAGCGATGAAACAATATTTTTAAATCAGTTAATTTATAATATTTATGCTCTGATAATTGACATTGATCACTGTTTTGTAAAAAATAAAAAATATCAATAAGAACACCGGATTACATATTTTAATGATCTTCTTTTTTATAATATATATATATATATATATATATATATATATGTGTGTGTGTGTGTGTGTGTGTGTGTGTGTGTGTGTGTGTGTGTGTAATTAAAATGAAAATTCCGACTTTAAAACTTTTCTCTTTGTGCTTCAATTTAGTCATATATATATATATATATATATATATATATATATATATATATATATATGTATATATTAATCATTTGACTATCTATACAATTTATTCCTTAAATATATATATATGCATGCAAAATTTCAAAAAATTTCAGCAATAAAATCAATCCAAGTTATGTTTCTCATTCCTCGACAATAATTTCCATCATAAAAACATTTCATTCATAAAATAATAATAAAATAATTTCATTCATGAAAAACATTTTTCATTCATAAAATAATACTAAAATAATTTCATTCATAAAACAAACAATTTTCATTCATAAAAATCAAAAAGAATACTACTGACCCTTTTAAGGCAACAATGAAATAAAGAATGCGTGGGACGTAAAGAACTTCTTGGTTACACAGAATCGCTTGTACGATTTTTTCTGCGACGAACTCTGTGTCCAACACTGGCAGAATTGATGGGAATCTGAAAATAAAAGAGATGCCAATATAAGAATCATGGTAGAACAGTTCAAAGAAAACAACTTAGACCTTACACATTTATAAATATATCTAACACATTTAAAGGTATACCATTCATCCATGCATTAGATATGGCTGTCACATCTGGCCTGGTGCTTCCGCTGTGTACATCGAGAGTTTAGACAAAGGTCCGGAAATAGCAAATAGCCTGAATCGAAATTAATGTCCATAAGGAACCTGAAAGAAGGCGATCTGCAATGACGCTAATATGCAATGGACCTGCCCTAGATGATACCAAAATAGACTTTGTACTCGGCGTCACATCAGAGCGTCAGAGAAATCAGGTATATCAGCGGATTAGCATCGAATGTAACCTAGTGGCTTTCAGGTGCAGATTCGCGCTTTCAAACGGTGTCGATTTCTGCGCATGTAAAATGGCGATGGACTCAGCTGAGCTTTGGACGTGCGCACGTCGGACAACCCGATGGAAAAAAAATCTTACAATCTAAAAATATTTTCTGGCTTTAAATAACCTGCAAAAGTTTGATAAACAGTAAAAAACGAATCAATCAACATTTGTGTTTGTTCAAAACCCACAGAACCCACCTATGATTTATAATTTTATTTATTATGTTTAATTTGAAAGGAATTTAAATTTTGACAATATAATATACCGCATGAACAATTTTCATTTCAAATTATTATAACAATTCAGTTATCCCCAGATATCTTTAAACGAAGATTGATTGACTGATTGATTATTTACGGTTTATCAACCTTTTAAAGCAAGAATATAGTTTTAGATTGCGAGAATGTTTTGAAGATAATAATGATTTACTGATACAGTTTATTAATTAACCTATATCTGGGGGTAGAAGAGGTGGATTTATACCTTTCTCAAGATTATTTTCGCTTAAGTGAATATATCGAATTCGACTGGTATTGGAACTCGGCTCTCGTATTTTCAAGCCGTTATCCATTACACCAGCTACACATCCAAGCTTAGATCACCTGGTATTTTCAAGCAGTCCCCCATCTAGGTACCGACCAGGTTCGACGTTGCTTACCTTCGGTGATCGTACGAGTGATGCTGTTTCAACATGATGTGGCCTTCATCCATATTTAAAGAACATGATCTCAGACTATAGGAAAACACGTTTTAATTGCCCTTTACACCGTCTATATCTCTTTATCATTATGATTATTTACATATTATTATATATTACATTTATTTCGGTTCGAAACTCCAATTTCCAGAAGAAGGCCGGAGAAAACGTTGTGAATATGGCAATGAAGATGAGGATAACAGTCCGAATAATGTAAATAACAGTCCGAATAATGCTGGAGCGTACAACGGCCGAAAATGAAATGGCAAGTAATCATAATACCTCATCTCAGAGATATAGACAGATATAGAGAGACATAGACTTAAATTGGAGCGTACCACGGCCGAAACGTTGTGAATATGGCAATGAAGATGAGGATAACAGTCCGAATAATGTAAATAATACAAGTAATCATAATACCTCATCTCAGAGATATAGACAGATATATAGAGACATAGAGGCTGGAGATAGACTGAATATTGCAATGAAGATGAGGATAACAGTCCGAATAATGGAGTAATCATAATACCTCATCTCAGAGATATAGACAACGGCCGAAACGTTGTGTACAACGGCCGAAACGTTGTGAATATGGCAATGAAGATGAGGATAACAGTCCGAATAATGTAAATAATACAAGTAATCATAATACCTCATCTCAGAGATATAGACAGATATATAGAGAGACATAGACTTAAAGGCCGGAGCGTACAACGGCCGAAACGTTATGAAAATGGCAATGAAGATGAGGATAGCAGTCCGAATAATGTAAATAATGTAAATAATTGCTCCTTACACTTTTAATTGAAAAAGAAACTAAATAAAAATACAAGGACACAAAGAGACAATCTTATAGCACATCGTGAAATGGCAAAATTGTCTTTTAATATCAATCATCATCATCCTCATCTTCTTTTGACTTCGCAATGGTTGGTCAAAAGTCTATTGACAATCCCTGTTCGGTCCTGTATTGCTATCCCCAGATTCCCAATGTTCCTCCCTGAGTCCTGAGCTATGGTGTCTGGGAAAGTCAATTTTCGTGAAAAGACACTTCCAAAAGGATGCCATAGGAGTAAGGATGAGACGATTTTGCTGGCCGCTCGGTGGCAGTGGCCAACAAACTGTAATCTTTTTTGCTTGAGCTTAAGAGAAACTGGTTTCAGTTCTCCGCAATTTGTGTTCAGCGTTGCAGGGGATATCCAACTGATGTTCTGGATTTTAATATCAATAAAATACTTTACAAGACGAATATATTTAATAACCTTTTAAATTTTTAATTGAGACACTCTGAAAGTATAATAGTACCACAATGTATTTTAATAAGTACTGGTACTTCGGAAAAAAGAGAGAAAGCAAAGAACTAAGAAAGACGTTGGTAAGACCTGAAACCGCACCTCGTTTGCTTTCATTAATACAAAATTGTTAGTCAAAAGCGCTCACGTCGTTTTCGAAAAAAAAAAACAAATCGGTGACATTCGACACTGTCAGGGGATTTACTGCTTCTTGACTGATTAATGAGTATTACACTACAGATTATTGCTCTCTCCTACCAAGTGATGACCATGACACGTGTCCTATTTTTCATGCACTAAAGGGGCTGGGTTTCCACGGTGTTGCTGTTAAACCCACTCGAAACCTCAACCTTGAGTAGCGATGTAGGCGCGATGAAAAATAACCATATTCTAGATACGCTACTATATGTACCATCTTCTTTCAAAACGCAGATGACCATGATTCTCCACAACTTCCTGTTATTGTTGTTATAAATAATTCTTTTCACACATGGCACATAACTGACTGACTTATACTGGCAACAAACCGCCTACATACAGATAGAAAATGAGTTCAGTAGATATACAAAAATAGAAAGGTGTGTAAGACAAGGATATATCTTCTTACCGGACTTATTTAACCTATACAGCGAATTAATTCGGAGAGAATTAGAAGTCCTAACCAAAATGTATTTTGAGAAGAGATACAAGAAAATGTTTCAATAAATACAACCAAATGGTGAGTTTCTGTAAGAAAAAAAATAAAGATACAATTACTGAATAATTTACAGTGGTTTTTAGGTCAACTCTCAGGAGATGAAGACCCAGTCATGCTTATTCTGGCTTACAAAATCAACTAATCCCAAATTTAAAATAATAAACAATATTTCACGGTTGAATAAACAAGGATATTTTCTTTCTTTTCTTTTCTTTTTTTTTTTTTTTTCTTTTTTTGTACTTCTGTGTCCGTATGAACTTGTGTGCGTGCAGGTATAGTATTTGACACAAAATATTTGAACACTTGCTTTTGGCCAAATAAAACAGGAACATGATATTCTCCTTCTATGTGTCGTATCCCGAGACATGGTTCTCCACAACTTCCTATTCTTTGTAACTCTTAGTAATGTTTGTTTTTCTTCCATCCTACCCACTCATCGTTCTACCATCCATTTACACAAGCTCGTTAGCTAGATGGTCAAGTGCCTCCTCTTATGCCTTCGATATGTCCTGTGAGTGTCAAATTTTCCAATCCCTCTTTCCTCATCAATAATTTCCTGCCAATAATCTCAGCTGTTTCTTTCTGATTCAGAGTATGTGTCCATTTTGTTTCCATTCTCCTTTAAAAAAAAAAAACTTTCCCGTTGCTTACACTCTCCAACCATTTTATTCTCTTTCTAAAATAAAATAATTTAACGAAAAGTAATTTTGAATGTGGCACTGATAATATGTAACAATTAAAATACCCCATTTAATAAATCCAAACAAACCTAGCCACATTTCTAAATTGTCAAGATTCCTCAAAGAATTTCCACAATTCAAAATTGCCAAAGAATTTTTCGTTTCCCTGACAGGGCCCAAGTATATCTCCAGCTTTCCACTTCTTTCATTTTCCCCTTTTGTTTTTTACAGGAAAGAAAACATCCTCTCAGAATTCTAACTTAAACATTCAGAACATTTAGCCAAAACACTGGAAAATCATGTTTAAAATCTAAAAAATATGCAATTTTAGAGATAAGAAAAGGTAAACAGGTATCAACAGAAGGAATACAACAACGCAACAATGAAGTCCTCAATATATTGAGTAGAACAGACGATATAAATATTTTGGATTAGTGAAATCAGAATTCATTAAATAAACGAGGCCGCTTTACTTTACTTTCTTTCATCATACGGTCAGTTTTAGACCCATTGGAGTGACAGATTTCTATTTTTTCCTCAGATTAGGCCATTTGCAGTGATGTGCAACAATATGAATTTATTTTCGGGGTGTATGATGAAATTTGTTTTGCCTTGAAAAATATTGCGTCATCCGTGATTGCATTAGATTTTCATCACGCCCAAACACTATTGTCTCGACTATCGATTAGTTGTCCTAGCGATGTACGCTACTCCGAGGAGGCGTACGAAAATTATAACGCTGCACAAACACAATGGCAAGCCTTACTAGTGTGCAAATCAAAATATTATCAACTGGCTCGGAAACTTTTCTGATTTAAATCCACTCAATAATGTGTGGTCAGTCTGCAAGCAACGACTTCGTGGAATGGACATACGAAGTATTAACATGTGCACTGGGTCATGTTTGATTAGAAAAATACGATAAAAAAGTAAATAATAAAGGATTTATTCGTTTTTAATTCGGACAAGGGTGTATCTCTCGGCATGAATCGAAACTGTATTTCCTGGGAAACCGTTTTAGGAATGTGTTCCTTACTTTTAAGTTACGCCTAGCTAAGGTGGCTTCTCCCCTGACTATAAAAAAGACCAAAGATTTATTTTCTTTAATAACAATTTGAAATCATCTAAACCGATTAGACATAATTTCATTCTTGTATTCATAATGTTTATAGTAATAAAACAATATTATCCGAGTAAAAAAAAATCATTAATTACTTAAATTAAAAAGAGTAAAGGAAGTTTTACCTTGTTTGTGCCCCTTCAAACATTCCCGTGTCGGTGTAGTAGGGACATGCCAGGGTCATATGCACACCATGTTTCTGGAGCATACCGAGTTCAAATCGTAAGGATTCATCGAGACCAACGCAGGCGAATTTACTCGCACAATATTCAGTCAGTTTATTTAAACCAATGACACCAGCTGCAGAAGAAACTGTCACAATGTGTCCAGAGTTACGTTCAATCATGTCTGGAAGAAATGCTTTGATTGTCTGTAAGAAAGAAAGAAAGGAATTTATATATTGCCACATTAATGAATCTTCAAAAAACTAAATAATCCAAAGCATATGGCGGTTTGAAATTATACTGGGTGATAAAAAGATGTTCCTACTGCAAGAAAATCATGTTTTAGATTAAATCAGTGATTCCCAACGTGGGGTGCATGCCCCACCGGTGGGACATGGTAATATTTTGGTGGGGCATGCGTAGGATGTGCACCTTTTGACTTACTATACCAACAGAATAAGGGGACAATTAGAGAATGAGTTATTAACAGTGAATTGTTTTCTAGTGAGCTCAAATTTCATTCTGCATTATTATTTCATGATTAAAATGATCAAAGTATATTACAGAATAAGATTTCATTCAAATATTTTATATTTCTGCCTTTCAGTTCTCCATTAAAAGTTTTGAAACTGTATATATTTAACTGTCTTTTTTGTTTTTTTCTTTTTTTCTTTTTTTCTTTCATAGATGCCATCGTCTTTGGAGGCTTGTTTTAATCTCAGTATATAGCTTCTTGCCTTGGAAAAGTTCTTCATTATTCTTGTAGTGATTAAATTTCCATTGGTTGAGACGCAAAATGATATCTCCATCTATTCTAAATTGATCTTATTATATATATATATATATATATATATAAACCATTGATTTCCAACATGGTGCGCATGCGCCACCGGTGGGACCTGCTAATATTTTGGCGGGGCATGAGTAGGATGTGCACCGTTTGTCTTACTATACCAACAGAATAAGAGGGCAATTCCAGAATGAGATATTAAAAGTGGATTTTTCTAGTGAGCTCAAATTTCATTTTTCATCATTATTTCGTAATTAAAATGATCAAAGTATATTGCATAATAAGCTTTCATTCAAATATTTTATATTTCTGCCTTTCAGTTCTCTATTAAATGATTTGAAACTGTATATAATTAACTGTCTTTTTGTTTTTTTTTAATTTGTCTCTTTCATTGACGCCATGGTCTTTAGAGGCTTGTTTAGAGACCAAATTAATGGCCTTTTAAGTTCCCTTCACGTGAATTGTAATAAATTTTGATTATTTAAGAATTAAATATTACAGGGAATGGCACCAGAATTTTAGAAAAACCAAAGTGTTGCATGGCCCCAAATCGGTTAGGAACAACTGGGCTAAATTGAGTACATTGATTTTGAATCTGTACGCAAACCGTTTGAGAATGTTGGAATGTTGCATTATAAGCAAGCACAGAATATGGATAACTTATAATAATTGCACTGATTTACAAAAACGAACATATCTTCAATCCAAACAAACGATTCTATACTAGACTAAATATTTCGAGCACGTCAATTCTTTAAGATATAGGCTTTGCATTTCGAGAAAAAAAGTAAAAGTTTATCGAAGTTGAAAATTCAAACATATCAATCCAGGAAGCGGAACATCTACCGAAAATTTCGTTCTCTCAGTAAACCACAGAAGAAAAAAAATTGAAAGAGAATGAAAATTAGGGAAAATATCTTGACTTTCACAAAGAAGCGAAACAAAAACAGGAAGGTAACAATCCTACTTCATCATTAGATGATCACTTTGAATAATCTCAAAGAACCTCGTAAAATGGTTGCAAGAATTGGAAATCCAAATAATCATTGAAACCATCCAGACAACGGAAGTAATAAAAAAAAAGACTACAGAAGAGTACAACAGATTCGGCTCGTCTTTGAACACCGTTCGAAAGTATCACTTTCAGCGCTGATAACCGTTAGGCTAACCGTACGTCCAACTATATTTTACTGGCAGGAAAACTTGTAGATCAAATCAAATAATAGGAATAATAATAACTCAGACCCGGTTACGGAGATAGGACCTGTTACAATTCTATGGGACTACACAATACACACTGACAGAACAATCAAAACCAACCGCCCAGACACTTTTATTAGAGACCGCAAACAAAAATTGCCTCCTTATTGATATGGCGGTCCGTGCAGGCTGCAATGTATCTTGAAGATCTTCAAAAATCTATCAAAATTCAAGGACCTTGAAATCGAAATCTCAAAAATGTGGCACATGGGAACATCAACAATCCCTGTTGTAGTTGGAGCCCTCGGATTGATTGGAAAAGATTCCATTAGAATCATTGAAGGGATTCTTGGTAGCCCATGCCTTAAAAAAATACAAAAAAATGTTCTCACGAGTACAGCCCACACGTTACGAATGGCTTTATCCATGTAAAATGTGTGTGTGTGTGTGTGTGTGTGTGTGTGTGTGTGTGTGTGTGTGTGTGTGTGTGTGTGGTTTTTGTCAAGTGCTCAGTGGAAAATGTCATGACTCTATTTCTGACCTTAGGTCTCTGGTCGGGGCCCGGAAAAAATGAGCACACACCAGAAATCAAAAGAAATAATAATAATAATAATAATAAAGAAAAATTCAGGTGTCGTCTTTACTGATAAAAGATGAGACTGACTTGCGTAATGATCATAGCAAGATGTCCTCCAAAAAATAAGCAAGGAAGGCCAGCGAAGATCATAGTCTGGGAAATGTAAAAATGTCATAGATTTGACAACCTATGTAAATGGTATCGGCCATGCAAATATTCCGCGACTGTGTTAAGCCGACTATCGAAGCAAGAACACCAGATTATTGTGAATATTGAAAAAAAGAAATCAGCGGACGTGGCAGTAGGACAGACCAAACATAGAGAACAGGAAATTAAACTGAGTACCTTATCTGGAAGCTGAGAAATATATGGAATATGACAGTTTAGATCATGTCTATAATAATAAGTGCACACAGAAAAATATGTATTAGAGAAGTTCGAATTTGTGAACAGACAAAAATTGTCGAAACCACTAATTAAAAAAAAAAGATGGACAGAAGCATACAAATGTTACATACAGGGTGGTCCGAAAGTCTTGTCACCTCTACATTATATCATTTTCTATTTCAACAAGAAGAGAGTTTCACATGAACGATACCAGAATCCCGATCAGTTGAAGGACGCCGTTCGGAGAGCCTTTGCAACAATCAACAAAGCACATCTTCGTACAGTATCACAGAGGAGATGCCGTCGCATCATTTTGTGCCGCGAAAATGATGGTGTTCATGCAGACTTTCTCGATGTGTGAGACAACGTCAATAAAAGTGAATAAACTGAATCCAGTACATGTGATTTGTATTTCTATAATACTTTTTCTTTTATTGTCCTCATTACTTTTTGATAGGCGGTGAAAAGACTTTCGGACCACTCTGTAGTTTAAAAATGTTCTTCTACTCTTTGGTAAATTGGCATCAAAAAGAATCAAGAAGAATCAAAGATAATGAAAATTTGTTTTGAAAACGATTCTTACGAGAAATTTTCGTCTCTAAACTTTAAAATAATTGTTTCAAACTTGAGTGTTTTTATTTGGAATGTAATAAATACTTATAAAATGTAATAAATACTTATAAAAATCTAGTTTAAAGTCTACATTGAAGTTCAATGTTTTACTTCAAAGGACACAATTACAATCTTCAGCCTTACAGAATATAAATTTCTATTTCTAATGACTGACACGAAAATGATGATGTTTATACAGACCTTATTGATGTGCGACAACGTCAATGAAACTGAATAAACTGATACATGTGATTTGTATTACTGTATTACTTGTTCCATTGTTCTCATTACTTTTTGGTAGGGGTGACAAGACATTCGGACCACCCTGTACAATTTACAATGTATTTAAAAAAATTGTTTCAAACTTTAGTATTTTTGTTTGGAACGGAACAAAATATTTTCAAAAATCTAGTTTGAATCTGTCTATATTTCTGTGATGAGGTATTATGTACACTATTTACATTATTCGGACTATCGTCCTCATCTTTGTCGCCATATTTATTACAACGTCTCGGCCGTTGTACGCTCCGGTATTCTTCAGGTGGCTGGAATGTCGAACAGAACCCTTTATTTCGCTCACTGGGGTAGACTGTTCTCGTGCCACGTGCCATGTTTAATGGGTGTCAGTTATCAGTTATCTCCTGTTAATTCCCCTCTCCAAGTACTCCACCGCCTTAACCAGATATTGAACTCACACTCTTTGGGTCTTGTCACTGGATCTAACTAACGCCTCTATCCACTCTGCCATGTGTCCTTGAGGAAATAAAGTGTTCAGTTCGACATTCCAACCACTTGGAGAAGGCCGGAGCGTACAACGACCAAAACGTTGTGATAAATATAGCAACAAAGATGAGGTTGATAGTCCGAACAATGTAAATAGTGTATCTAGTTTGAAGTCTACGCTTGAAGTTGAATGTTTCACTTCAAAGGACACAATTACAATCTTCAGTTTTACATAATATAATTTTTTATTTCAGATGGCTGACACGAAAATGATGATGTTCATACTGACCTTATCGATGAATGGCAACGTCACTGAAAGTGAATAAACTTAATCCAGTACATGTGACCTGTATTAGTGTATTACTTGTTCTTCTATTGTTCGCATTACTCTTTTGGTTCGGAGTGACAAGATTTTCGGACCACGCATTGCATATTAACAGATTCGATAAATTTGAACAAACTGTGGTAGAGAGATGTTCTATTCTAATAATCTCTTTTCTCGCACTTCTCGCCTGCAGAACGTTCTTCCGGTTTCTTGCTTCCTTGCCATCTACAGGTCGTTGGTGGGGAGGGCTTATTTTCCAAACTCAAAGCCTCTTTCCCAGGGAAGTAGCGTCGCATGCCCATCGCATGTCATTCCTCCCATGGCAAATGTTCGAACGAGTTCCAAACTTTACTTCCATCAGTTCTGTCATTTTTAATGCTATTTTTCAACCAATACAAAGCCTAAGAGCCACTCAAGGTAGAGAGTTACTGAATGGGACTGTTTTATAGACATGAGGATTGCAAATTATGAGGATATGTAGGATAGATAACGGTTGATTCTAAAGTGTAGTGATCGGAGAAGCATACTCTCGGAAATCTGTTCCACAAATTAGTGACTCTTGAGGAGAAATTGTTTGAATAGAACTTCCTTC